GGAAGGCAGCCACAGTTTTTTAATCATTCGACCTACTATAGGACATTTGGGTTGTTTTCACTTTTGGCTACTGCAGATAGAACTGCTATGAACGTTTGTGCTCAGGTTTTTATGTGAATATGTTTTCATTTCTGTGAGATAAATGCCCAAGAGTATGACTACCCGAGTCACATGGTAACTATATATTTGCTTTTTAAAGAAACTGCCCAATAGTTTTCCAGAGTGGCTGTAACATTTTACATACCCACCAGCAATGTATGAGAGATTCAGTTTATCTACATCCTCACCAATAATTGGTATTGTCACTATTTTCTATTTTAGCTGCGGCAATAGGTATATAGTGATATCCTACTTTGGTCTTATTTTGCATTTCCCTAATGGCTCGGGATATTGAACATATTTTCATAGCTTATCACCCAAATTTCTTCTTTAGTGAAATGTCTCCACATATACTTTGACCATTTTTAATTGAGTTTTTAAAAATATCGATTTACTATTAATTTAATATCAATATTTAATTCTGTAGGTTATTTATATACTAAAAATACAAGTCCTCTGTCAGATACAGGATGTGCAAATATTTCTCCCAGTCTGTAGTTTGTCTGTTCATCATCTTAACAGGATCTTTCACAAGAAACTAATACATATACATTTAACTTACCTCATTCATGTGGAAAGCGTAGCTTGTATCTCTACTGGATCTTTTCCCTAAATGAAATAAGAAAAAGAAGAACATGTTAAACTGGACAACTGATCATATTTGGATATGTTCAAAAGTCTGCATCAGAATAAAATAGGAATTCACCAACCAAAAAAAAATTCAGAGAAAATATACAGGAAGAAAATATACAAGACCTTCCTGGAGCTAAGTTGTTCAAAACAGCCTCTAAAAAAAGTCTCACCAAAATCTGGTACTGCAAACTAGCATAACCTCTACGGAAAGTAGTATGGAGATACCTCAAAGAATTAAAAGTAGACCTACCATTGGATCCAGCAATCCTACTACTGCGTATTTACCCACAGGAAAAAAAGACATTTTGTAAAAAAGACACTTGCAGTTGAATGTTTATAGCAGCACAATTCGCAACTGCAAAGATGTGGAAACAACCCAAGTACCCATTAATACATGCGTGGATCAATAAAATGTGGTATACTTATACCATGGAGTATTACTCAGCCATAAAAAATAGTGAATTAATACCTTTTGTAATAACCTGGATGGAAGTGGAGACCATCCTTTTAAATGAAGTATCTACAGAATGGAAAAAGAAAACACATGTACTCACTACTAAATTGAAACTTATAGATCAACACTCATGAGCACATATTGTTGTAATATTCAACAGAAATTAAGCAAGTGGGAGGGGAGAGGAGGGGATGGATAAATTCACACCTAACAGGTATAATGCACACTATATGGATGATAGACACACTCATAACTTTGACTCAAACTGTACAAAAGCAATTGATGTAACCAAAACATTTGTACTCCTGCAATATTCTGAAATTTTTTAAAAATGTATTTGTATACACAAGGAGTGCAATGCGCACTACCCGAAGGATGGACATATTTGAAACACGGACTTCGGTGGTGGGGGAACCAAGGGCAACACACGTAACCTAAACATATGTACACCCATAATTTGCTGAAATAAAAAAAAAAAAGAAAAAATAATAAAATAAAATAAAATATACTTGAACAACAACAACAACAAAAAGTCTCACCCAAAACTGACTATAATTTAGGGGAAAAGCATCAACTATTGATGTGTAGAATACAATCTCTGGCATTAATCTCTTATCAATGCAGTTATCAATTCATAGCCACAAAAATAATAAAAGGAAAATATCCAATAGGGATGTCCATTGGTATCTGTTATTCTCACCCTGTGAGATTTAATATTCTCTCAGATTGTTCTCCTGAAATTTAACTAGATTGGCTGCAATTAAAACACTACCAGAGCACTACCAAATTCTAAAGAGGCCAAATTACTTTCTTGACACAGAGATAGCTCTGTAATCGATACATGTTTAGTCAGTTGGACTAAAATAAATGTTCAAATAAGTTTGTGATGCTAAAGAGTGTTAAATATAGAATTCAGATTCTTACTCTTTAGTGACTCCAACTTGGAAAAACACTGAGAAATATTTCTCAAACAAAAACTTTCTATACAAAAAACTTTTTGGAGGAAATGTCACAATGGAAATTTAATAAAATGTTGCTACCATATAAAGGCCATCCATAGTAACTGCAATTTTAGGAAGAGTTAGTATATATTCCAAAAATATAAAAACTAAATCTACCATTTATATGGCTTTTCATAATCCAAGAAAAAAATTCATTTTACAAAACAATATTAAACATATGTTAAATGAAATTAATTGTACCAAGCTTACAACAGTCCAATTCCTTTCCATAGGCTATGCAAATCACTCAGTTACTCTCTCAAATCGTTGAACCCACAATATAGATAAATCTTTACTTGATACAAATTCAATCATTATAAGTCAGCTGGGGTATAAAGTCCAAAGTTTTCTATACAGAGGACTTTTAGATTTTTGTTGGTTCATTTGTTAAAACAAGCCTTCATGTGAAAAATAAATACTGGTTTGTAAGAAATATGTATTTTATTTACTATTTTATTTTATTTAAAAAAGCAGATTCATGGTCCATAACTTTGATAATAAAAGATAAAGATCATTCTTGTTATAATAAGTTCTTTGCCTGATTAGCAAAACCTTTAAAATTAACCAAAATCAACCTACTTCTCCAGCCTCAACCGTTTGCTCTCTTAAGCCCAGCCCACTAGTCTTCTTTCAGTCTTCTTGTACCTTCTTTCAGTTTCATGTTCCCTTTTCATGGTACCTTAACAGTTATTCCTCTGCAAGGAATGTTCTCTGTAACGCTTTCAATCTGTCCCCCAAAGTTCAGTGTTGAGAGGTGGGACATTTAAGAGGTGTTAAGGTCATGAGGGCTCTGCCATTATGGCAGGAGGGATTTGCTGTAAAGGGAATTCGGCTCTCTCACATGGACTCTCTCTCTCATGTGATGCCTTCTACCATGTTATGACACAGCATGAGGAACCTCAACAGATGCGGCCATTCAATCTTGGATTCAATCTCCCAGCCTCCACCAAGTACCTAATAAACTTCTCTTGTTTGTAAATTACCCAGTCTGTGGTATTTTATTATAGCAGCACAAAACAGACCAAGACATTCTTCCTCTTCCAACCTTGCCCTGGGTAATTTCTCACATTTTTTCAGATAGCAGCCTATAAGTCACTTTCTCCCCTGAAAAGCCTTCTCTCACCTATCTGACTAGTTCAAATCATCTTAATTGTCTCTACTCGATGGCACTTCTCAAAGTTTCAAATTTATAAGGATATGTGTGCTTTTTGATGAATGTCTTTTTCCCCCCCAAAGACTATAAGTTCCTGAAAGGTAGACATAATGTATGATTTTGTTCTTTCAGCATACTGATTTGCAGATTAAAATTCCTTGACAAACATTTATTGATGGAATGAATGAGCAGGCTAGCATAGGAACCAAGTTATTTCACTACTGTTCCTGAAAATGATAAGCCAAAATAAATCCAGAACTTGCCACATGTCAGGCACTGTGGTACGTACTAATCTATTTACATACCATTTACATTGTATTAGGCATTATAAGTAATCTAGCAATGATTTAAAGTATATGATAAGATGTGCACAGGTTATGTGCAAATACTATACCATTTTATATAAGGGATTTGAGTATCTGAGGATTTTGGTATCCGCAAGGGGTCCTGGAACCAATCCCTTGAGGGCACTGAGGAATGATTATACACACACATACAACCATATATACATATATATTATACACATACACACACAATACTCTATAGTTGACAATACAAATCCTACGTCAGCAATTTTCAAAGTACAGTCTGCCAACCCCTGTCAAGATCAGATTTATTTTTTGATAATAGTAATACCTTATTTGCCTTTTCATTTTGTTGACATTTGTACTGATGGTGCAAAAGCAGTGGGATAAACCTGCTGGTGCCATCACACAAATCAAGGCCATGGCACCAAACTATACTAGCAGTCATTGTATTTTCCACCTACATGCATTCTCAGTAAAAAAAGAAACAAAAACCCATTTTAACTTAAAAATGTCTTCAATAAAACAGTAAAATTACTAATTCTATGAAATCTTTACCCTGAACACACATCTTTTTAATAATCTATAAAGAAATAGGATGCATGCATGAAGCACTGCTGTTGTACTCCACAGAACTATGGTTATTTCATGAAAAAACACCTTGCACTGCAAGGTGAAGTAGCTGATTTTTTCATGAAACACCATTTTAATTGAAAGTATGACTGACAAACATATATGGTCATAGAGACTTGGCTAATGGGTAGACATTATCTCAAAAATTAATGACATGAACCTGTCACTTCATGGAAAACAGCTGACAGTATTTTTTGCCATTGGTAACATTTGAGTTTCAAATGAAAGTCAGAATTTTAGAAAACTTGTATCTGTCACCATGAGCTGAAGAGTTTCACAAGACTGTCCTGCTGAGATCAGTATTGATGTTAATGTGACTTTTTGATATTTTACAATGAAACATGTCAATGTTTGGCAGCTCTGCACAACTCAGTGAACTAATATTTCTCAAATGACCAATATGTGATGTTACAAAATCATGCAGGGGGAAAAGATCTATTTAAAATGCATGCCAGACCAATGAATTTTAATGTAGCAAACAATGAAAAGTTAATTTAGATGGTTTCAAATTTCATTATACCTAACTTCTAAGAACCTGTTATTAGTTGAATTTTGCTGTAACATCACAGAAGAACATCCATAATTATTTGCCCTTTCTAGGCACCTCATCCAACTACATTTCCTTCCATAAGACTGCAAACTCCTTGAGAGCCAGAAGGAGCACATTTTGTCAACTGTATACTTTTCTGAAAAGCTGAAAGATTCAAGAGGATAGATTTGTTTCTTCACACAGTACGTTCCTTCTCACCCCCTCACACTTACTGCTTCCTAGCTTTGTCACGCACACATGCACACAGACAATCAGATGTTCACATGTGCTATAGACTCAGGCACACTTGTACACTCCGTCATAGAGTATAAAGGTGGAATACCTATGCATAAACACCAAGTCTCTGTCAAAACAGAAGCCTGACTGAAGGGCAGGATTTAAAGCCAACGAATCTGTCAGCTTCTTACTATTGCTCCAAATTCCTCTAGAATGAATGGAGATGACTAAACTCGTTCTGTGGCCTAAAAACCAGAGAAATGAAGGATCTGGTACCAGTTCACTGTGGGGAATCATCAAATATATGCCAAAAGTAAAGCCAGCTCAAAGACTGAGCCATGGGTTCTCACTGAAGGCACATTACTAAGAATACAACACTCCAACAAAGCCAGAGTCCAAAAATAGCTCTTGTATTTACCAAACGGTCTTCTCAGTTTACACTCCTAATCAGCAGTATAAAATAAAATCTTTGCAGTCAAATATTCACATTACTAAAGGACAGGTGGTTTAAACACAATGCTTAATGTAGCTGTAAAGATGCAAGCAACTTTACATCAAACATTTAAATTGTCTTTTCCAACACTAAACCCCTGGACTGTCTTTTCCAATGCTGACCATAAATCAGCTAAAGAAAATACATTTCATATCAGAATGTCCTTACAATATCAGTCAATAGTTCAATTCCAGCAATACATTTTGACATTTTACTAGCAGTGTTTGTCTATGTAACTATTTAAGTGTTCTATTACATTTTGCCATTAGAACTTCATTTTAAAAATTAATAGACAGTAGAAAATTAGCTGCCTGGAAATCACTGATTGCTTACAGGTTCAACTGTGAAGAAAAGAGATTCAGAGAAAACGCAACAATTACTAGAAATATCTCATTAACTGTTACATCTAAAAGGCAAAATGTTAATGTCTCTCTTGGAAGAAATCCTATTGCATGTAAATCAATTGTTTAACACTCTCATATTCAATCTTCAAAGGTGATTTAGGAAACACATAATATACAACATTGAGGCTTACCTGTATGGGTAAATTTACTCTAAGAAATATGTTTATATTTTACAATGTAGAAATGAAAGCGGCTACTAAAATTTGATGCTATGTAATCTAGAATTTTTCAGTCTTCTACAGCCAACACTTTTGTTTTTATAATTGTCATTTAACTACAGAAGAAAACATACATGGAAGTAGGCTTCCAAAATTCTACTCTACTATCAATATTAAAAAAAAAAAAAAAAAAACACATCCTCATAACAATGCACTTTTCATAGAACCCTAGTGCTACCGAATGTCCCCTCCAAAACTCACGGTGAAATTTAACTGCCATTGTAATGATATTAGGAGGTGCACCTTTTAAGAGATGATTAGGACATGAGGGCTCCACCCTCACCAATGGATTAATGCCATCATCTAGGGAGTGGGTTTGTTATCTCAGGAGTAGGTTCCTGAGCAAAGGACAAGTTTGGCCCTATTTCTCTGTCTCACAGACTCCTTTGCTTTTCCATGTTATCATGCAGCACAAAGGCCCTTACCATATGCCAGCACCATGCCCTTGGACTTTCCAGCTTCCAAAACCAAGAGATAAATAAACTTCTTTTCTCTATAAATGACCTACAGTGTGATATTTGGTTGTAGCAACAGAAAATGAACAAAGACGCCTAATAATAACAAAGGTCTCAATAATGGGCGGTAAAACTGACCCAGTAAAATAACCCAGTAAAATGTTGAGTAACATCTAAAAAAATAAGTCACCTGAGTGGCCTGGACCACCCTGCTTTTTAGGCCCTGCTGCCATCAATGTCAGACTTCTCTGATGCCTGGGTTCTGGATCTGTGAGCAAATCTGTATATAGGAATTTGGATAGAATGGAGTTATTAGATCCAAGCATCAAATATAGGGCATTCTTCATCAATATCTTTTCCCCTTACCTCCACCCAAATCAGAGGCACAGCTTTGATCACAGGAGAGAGCATAAACAGATTACAAAAGCCTTTGTAAAGAAAAGAGAAAACTGAAATCATTCTGTGAAAAGTTCTAAAATCTTCCTGGGCTGGGCATGGTGGCTCATGCCTATAATCCTAGCACTCTGGGAGGCCGAGGTGAGAGAATCGTTTGAAGATAGGTGTTCCAGACCATCCTGAGCAACAGCGAGACCCCATCTCTACCAAAAGTAGAGAAATTAGTCTAGCGTGGTGATGCGCACCTGTAGTCCCAGCTACTTGGGAGGCTGAGGCAGGAGGATCCCTTGAGCCCAGGAGTTTGAGGTTGCAGTGAGCTATAATGATGCCACTGCACTCTAGCCCAGTTGACAGAGCAAGACCCTGTTTCAAAAATTAAATAAATAAATAAATAAATAAATAAAACTTTCCGGGGATGGAGTCATGCTTCATATAACCTTAAATGATACTAATTTGTAATTCTAATAAAAAAAAAAATCTTAAGGCTAAATTAGATCATACTTCAAGCAACCTTAAGAAGACAATGGTCAATCTCTGTAATGCCATGTTGAAACATTTCTTCTTCATTTTACATAGAACATTACATAATACACATTTTTCCCTCTGCGCTTCTTCAGTGAAGAATATATTTCTGTACCTTGACATAGTTTTACTTCAGGACTGATTATAAGGGATTACTGAACATTTTAAATGAATATTTATGTATATTTAGAGCTTTGGATTACTGAGATTACAGAAGAATGTGATTCTCAGCAAAGGAGGAAATCATCAAATGAATATGGCAAGGGACTTTCGATTTTGTACTTCTGAAAGTCATCTGACTTCTTTTGCACCACTG